GAGAATGCTATCAGTGCTATCGCGTTATACTTGTTTTATCTAATGTTATACTTGTTTTGTCTAATGAGTAATAAAGAGAAAGAATAAGAACTTTTTATTTACATATAATTTTCAATGAGCGTGCAGCGCAAAGAAGAGTACAAAGTTAAACTTTTACAAAATTAAAACAATTACTAATATAGAAATACAAACAATTAAATTACCAAAAAGTGTCTTTTTATTTTAACATATACATGATGATAGTTAAGGCATTGAAGTACTAGTTTGAGATGAAGATAAAGGAGAAAGGACACAATTCACCATAAGACAATGAAGTTGTATTACTGTGTTACGTCCGGGAGGACTCCACGATTTCCTCGTTTCGAGATTACCTAATAGGGTGATCGTTGAGACAGGATGTAAGAGAAAATGCGAGAGTTAACGGTCACCGATCGGCGAGCGTGACAATATGTAGAAAATATGTCGTTGAAAGCCCTCCCAACGATTTTGGAAAGATAATAAAAACATAGATACCCAAGATCACCCGATAGTAGCAGTAATAAAATTTATGACAAATTACAGACCATATCGAGAATGTTCGTTTTGAAACACGTTCAGTTTAAATAAGTAATATCTAAAAACGGATCGGGAATCCTGGGTAAATAGAAAGTCGCATTCCCAAGCGCATGTAACGTGTTGAAGGGCGTCTTTTCGTTAACAACAGGAAATAGTAAAATAGAAATAGCTTGACAAGAATAAATTTTAATTTTTGCCGACGATCATAAAATCCTGAAGAAATACTGTCTAGACGAGAAGACGCACGTTCAAATATCTAATAAAAGAGAAATCGGAAATAAGAAAAAAAAAGGGAATGTGAGTTTTCAAATTGTCACGATCAGGTCGTTCGGAAGGTACGATAAGTGAAATACCCCTTCTCTTCAAAGAGAATACCAAAAACTAAACTCGCCAATGGGTGACCGTGAATCTGAAAATCTAGAAAAGGTGATGACGTATCACCAATAAGTTCTTAGGGGATTGAAACTTGCAGTGCGGGCGGAGCAAATTTTGAAAGTAGTTACCAGTAAGAATATGAAACACAAATTTCCTACCAAAGCAGAAAATCCCTCCAACTTGAATCCTCGATTTTTCCCACTCAACATGTCTCATCAGAGAACCACCCTCTGAAACCCTCTATATAAATTGACACTGCGAGACTCGCACTCTTCACTCTTCATTTTTTGATCCTGCTCTGAGTTCGGTTTTAAAACAGTCATTCTCTCGCAGTTTATTTCGCTAAGACAAGAGTTTGTTAAGTGCATAACCGAAGATCTTCCTCATTACATCCA